GGGGGGGGGTGGCATAGAAAAGCAAGCAAGATTTATCTGCCGAGTATATTATAATATAATATATAATTTTATTCAGTCGAGATGTCATTTGCGGTGCCGTGAAATCTTGCATTTTATGTTTATATGGTTAGATTGTCCTGCGCTACATCGGATGAGTTTTAGCGGTGGGTATGAATTAGTAACGAGATGTAGCGCAAAGCCGCTTAAATTAGAACACCGCTTAAACGAGTACGACTACAGTATTATTTTATCAAATTTGGCTGATGGGTAAATGTTTGCCGATGTTTAACTTTCGCCCTTTGTGATTGTTTTATCAGAGGCGATTTATCATGAGAGCGAGTAATGGTACACAGCTACATATACCTAGTTATACAAGTACTAGTTGGCTATTGTCAAACAATCGTGAATGTAGTTCTACGTTCGTTATTTGAAGATTGTGAGAATGTTCATAGTTTAAGAACAGATTTTAGAACACGTTTTAACGGATTTGGGAGTCAGTGTAGACATGTTTGTATGTGAATATTTGTATGTAGAAGTTGCTTGTTTTTAAGTTATTGTTATGCATGTAAACATTTCTTTCATTATAGGCTTTAAAAGCAGTCAAAATGATTTGGTGGATATAAAAGACAGAATGTTTGGTGGGCCAAAACCTACTAAAGGACCAATGCGCAAAGGGGGACCAAAACCACCTGGAGAGCCAAAACGGACTAAGGAACCAAAGCCACCCGGGGAACCAGAAGGATTCACCGACAAACGTAGATTCAGGCCTACTGGGGAGCCAAAACGCACTGGGGGACCAAAGCGAACTGGCGGACCAGGAGGATTCAAGCCTACTGGGAAACCAATGCGCACCGGAGGACCAAAACGCACTGGAAAACCAGAAGGATTCGCCGACAAACGCAGATTCAGGCCTACTGGGGAGCCAAAACGCACTGGGGAACCAGAAGGATTTACCGACAAACGCAGATTAAGGCCTACTGGGGAGCCAAAACGCACTGGGGAACCAAAGCGAACCGTGGAACCCTAAGGATTTACCGACAAACGCAAATCCAGGCCTACTGGGGAACCAAAGCGAACCGGGGAACCAGAAGGATTTACCGACAAACGCAAATTCAGGCCTACTGGGGAACCAAAGCGAACCGGGGAACCAGAAGGATTCACCGACAAACGCAGATTCAGACCTACTGGGGAGCCAAAACGCACTGGGGAACCAAAGCGAACCGGGGAACCAGAAGGATTCACCGACAAACGTAGATTCAGGCCTACTGGGGAGCCAAAACGCACTGGGGAACCAAAGCGAACCGGGGAACCAGAAGGATTTACCGACAAACGCAGATTCAGGCCTACTGGGGAGCCAAAACGCACTGGGGGACCAAAGCGAACTGGCGGACCAGGAGGATTTAAGCCTACTGGGAAACCAATGCGCACCGGAGGACCACAACGGACTGGAAAACCAGTTAGACCATCAAGGAGGCCAAAGATGGACCGAAAGGCCCTCCTTCGCCGCATCATGGACGCATTGAATAAATATTAATCATCCAACATCCTGATTTTTGTAAACAAAAACTTCCCGACAATCGCATTGTATTTTGTTGTTAATTGTTTTGCCTTGTACTTGTAAATACAATTTTGTTGCAATTCTGTTTGGATTTTCGTGTTTTATTGAAGTCATAACCCAACACGTTTATGATTATGTTGGTATGTTTTTTTAACAATTTCACTGAAGTTACAAAGACAGAACGTTACATGAGCAGTTTTTTTTTTTTACTAAAGCACTGATACAAAACATCCCACCGTTAATTAATGTTTGATATCAACTTACATTAATATCATTAATAAAAAAAATACTACGCTTATAACCAAATGTGAAGTCATCACAAAGTGTTTCGTAAAATAAATATTTTATCGCTATCAAACCATTCTGTTACTTGTTTACGCCTAAGTTTGCGGGAACCAGGTACAAAATATTACCAGTCGCATCAGTGAGGTGAATCCAAATGATAATGTCCAATTTCAATTTCATATTGAGCTAAAGATATTTTCGTAAAACACCCGGACTTGCATGGTAGTAAAGGAAATGTTAAAACCTGGAACTCTGTCCCACTACATGGGAAACACTAAAGAGATCACACTCCTGTTTTAGTACTGAAGTGACCTCACATAAATTTCGTTTAAAGCTACAACATAATGTTCGATATCTATGTTTGCAAATCTTCATTGAAAACGTTTCTCTTTCTTTTTTCCTATTTCATCTTTTATATGTAAACAAAACCTCCGCAATGTATGTTTTTTTCACCGAATGAGTTAAAACTAATTGTCGCGTCATTAAGATAATTTAAATGTATTTTACTTCTGTGGCAGTGGCGCCAGGATTATTAATGACAATTTCATATATATAGCCACAGTCTGTGGCAGTTCAACGGGGAAACATAATGACAATTTATATATAGTTACAGTCTGTGGCGGTGGGACAAGGATCCTTAATGACAATTTATATGCAGTTATAGCCTGTGGAAGTTGTACAAGGATCCTTAATGACAATGTATATATAGTTACAGCCTGTGACAGTGGTACAGGGAACCTTAATGACAATCTATATATAGTTACAGTATGTGGCGGTGGTACAAGGATTCTTAATGACAATGTATTTATAGTTATAGTCTGTGGAGGTGGTACAAGGATCCTTAACGACAATGTATATATAGTTACAGTCATTGGCAGTGGAACAGGGAACCTTAATGACAAA